GCGGACTTGAGTGGGGATGTAGCTAGAAAAAAATGGAGAAGAGTATCATGTATGACGGAAAGCACCCTTGAGTTCCGAGCTGGAGACTCGTGACGAAATGGATGACGTAAACAGAAATGAATATCGAAATATTAATCCCGAAAATTATAGCGGATCGATGCAGAGTTGACGGGTTACTAAATATAAGCAACTGAAATAAGCGTAACAATGCCAGACAGATTTCGTGTTTATCAAAACGTGAGATAGTCGATGATACAACTCCACAATGTTTTTTTAAATTACCTTTATAAGTGAGATAAATATATTGTACTGAATTATTTAATAAGTTTACATCATACAATAATATAAATTTTTTATCGCCTCAGTATAACAACAAATTTACTAAAATTTACATTCAGATTTCCATGTTGAATTTCACATGACATTTTATTGTTTTCATATTGTTTCATATTGTTTTCACTAAATTTTGATCATTCTTTTCGTATCTCTTTCGTAGCTATATTTATATAATAAAAATATTAATTTCATATAAACCATAAAGGACGCAATTTTTACAAATTGATTAGTAAAGTTGCTACTAAATTGACACATACCTGTTTATCTGGGAAGAGACTTATCAGTTATAAACGGTCTAATCTGCACTTATTGCTAAGTGATCGTCGTGCAATTTGCATTAACGTCACGTCACACATTTCCGGAGAATGAACTTCGAGAGATTGACGCAATATTGACAAGGACCGAATAAAATATCAAAATAACTTACTGCCGTGCAATCTGGTTATTAACACTGCTATACGTGTTTTACTGAGCTATTAAACACGAAAGTTACAAGAGCGATTAAAAATTGACGACTCCACAGGTATGTGTAATTTAACTTTACAAGCTATTATCCTACCGTGTTTTGTATCCTCCGTCCGTTTCTGGCCTCTCAATCGAGCATTTCAACTTTTGGTTGCTTCGTTGTGGCACTTTGAATATTCGTCTGTGACAATAATACTAATACGACAAGCACACGATACTTTTCTCGGAATTCTCACTTGCTCGTTTCGCGACATACCATTCAGGACACTTATTTGACGATATGAACGTCACGACAAACGCGCGAGATTTACTTTCGGCATTCCCGGCGATATTCGCGCAAAATACTCTTCTGAAACGAATCAGTAACGCGGGGACAATTTGAAAGACTCGCATTTCCAACCATCACTTGTGTAACGGACGCGTGATAATTTGCTCAGTACATACACATCCTACTATCTGTTCCGCGAGATTCTTCCGGTGGTCACTGATCCTGATACAGACATTGAGCTTAAAAAAGAATTCACATCCTGGCAGAAAAATCAGATCAAAGCCAATCAGATCTCGCGCTGGTTGAAAAATAGAAACCGTCCCTAACATTGTCTCCAAACATCCTAGAATATCCTATTCGACAGCCAATCAACAGATGCGACACAGTCGAATTACGGCCAATGAAAATTAACCTAATTCCTGGCGGATGTTTAAAATATTTCATGTGCTTTAAAGCACGTCGTGACTTCGCCGCGGTGAATTAAAGAACTACGAATTGTACTTTTCAGTAGTATTGTTAGACATATCCGTCCCCTTTTCAAACTTATATATTGAATATGTAAATATGACATCAGTAGAGATGTAATTCGATGTTTGAGATCGAAAAGTGCTATGTTCCTATTTGGATGTTCCTAAAAAATTATTTACAAATTTTAAAAAAATTGATAAAAATCTATTCAAAATCGACTTAGTTATTCTCTAGCGAAATTGAAAAGGATCTTTTTATTAGGCAAGACTGAGACGTTTTGAAATTTATACAAAAATGTCGTGGACAATCTTGCATAATCGTAAATTCCTGCACTTTGATATTTTTGATACACACACGAAAAGGGGTCTCATCTAACAACATTATCTCCCAGCTGCAATACTTTCTGTACTTTGCAATATCTATTTTCCTCTTCAAATGAATATTATCTATTTAATATATATATATACACACACATACATATATAGAGTAGTTTACGATTGCGTGATGGAGGGAGTAACGTTAGTAGATTGTCTCATGATGTCAATTTTGAACATTGTCGATTGAGGTTGACATTAATATATCTCGAAGATACTTGTTTTGAATTATTTTCAACACATCTTCCGCAAATTATTTTCCACGCAAAGAGCACGTTGAATTCTAAATAATATTATGGCCGATGCAGATAGGTAAGCCAAAACCAAAAGTTTCTGATTTCAAATTTGAATCCGATCTCTCGTAGGATTTGATCTCGTAGGATGGTAAAATTACACTGAATTGTAAATATGCTCAAGCGATCTGAAACGTTCTTTCATACAAATGTCCTTTTATTTAAAAACGGTGAGAATTTTTGGCATTTTTTATTTTTTTCACTTTTAATTTCATTAATCCAGAGCAGAAGTGGATACAGGAGCCTTAAATCTATTAAATTGAGAAACTTAAAAGCTCTCTCTTTACGAATAGGGTTGAAGTCACCAACCTGAGGTTGACCTGGAAATTCTTGAAGACTTATGGCAAAATTATCTTTGCTGTTTCCTGGGCGATCATTCTCTTACCCTTGCTTGTGATTTGCAAATCCTCGGTATCTCGCTCCTTTATCTCTTATTAATTCTTAAATTTGGCATCCAAAAAATTTGACAGAAAAGATCAGTCGTTTCTTCAACTATGTGATTTTTATTTTTCATATTCTTCGCAAAGTAAATGTCCCAATAACTAAACCAATAAAAAAGCACGATTAGCTTTTCACTTTTATTAATAAATAATTAATAGAATTACTGAATAATGTGTCAGTTATACCAATAATTGAATTGAAAAATTAATCATATCCCAATTATCGAATAATACAGACTCAATGATTGTATGCTCATTAAATAATATTACGAATTGGCACACGTGTGGGTGTGAAAAAATATCTTTTAATAAAATTTCAAGAGCTTTCTTTTTCTTAGAAATATTAAATATTAAATACAAATATATTATTAATGTTTCAACATATATTCCGATATTGTTCAATTATTGGGATATTTACTTTAATTTACGACATCTTGGTGTTTTCTTCCTTCTTTCTTTGTCTATTAGTTTTCTTAACTTTTAAATTTCACTCTCAAAACTCGATACGATAGATACGACCGATCATTTTTTAACTTTGATCCTCCTCTGCGTAGGAAGCCCGATGCGCTTACGTGATATTGCTGATGGCAGGTTATTGGGTGACTGAATGCTTTCCCATGGCCGTGACGTCTCTGATTCCGGTGGTGCTCTTCCCGTCTTTCGGGATTCTCAGCACGATGGCCACCTGCATTTGTTACATGAACGACACCATAATGGTATTCATCGGCGGTTTGATTCTCGCTTTCGCCATCGAGCATTGTAATCTGCATATGAGAATCGCCCTTGGGGTCGTCAAGATGGTCGGCTTCAGTCACGCGAAGCTGCTCGGTGGCCTTTGTGTTGTAACGACCTTCATGTCCATGTGGATAGTGAATACTGCGGCCACTGCGATGATGGTGCCCATCATCTTCGCAGTTCTACGCGAATTGGAACAAGTATCAATTAATTATTGTCTCCTCTCTAATTTATACATTTGATGCAATTTGAATTTTTATAGTAATAATTTTCTTTTCTTTCTACTACCACATAAGTAAACTAAATCTGTTCCACACAGTTAAACAAGTTAAACAGTATAGTGTATATATATATATATAAATAAGTTATTATTATTGATATCCTAACATCAATAAATATTAATATATAGTATATACATTAATTGTTATATATTAATGATACATTTTAGTAATATAGTGTGTATTGCAAAGTTAATCTTCTTTCTTTTTTGCATCACTATGTCTAATTACACATATGCATGTTTGCGCAGGCAGGATACGGTGCGGTATTCGAGAGAACAGAGACGGATCCGGAAAGGCCGGACGTTCCAGGGTGAGCAAATTGAATATTCATTGCGATCGCGACAGACGGCCTCTTCAGCGATAATATATTTCCAGCGAATTAAGACCGACGAGGGTGACGAGGGCGTACATGTTGGCAGCAGCTTACTGTTCCACGTTTGGCGGTACGGGAACGATAGTGGGAACCGGCACAAATCTGACTTTCAAAGGGATTTACGAGAGCATGTTCCCTACCGCCGAGACAATTAGTTTCATACACTGGATGATCGCGTCCTTTCCCCAGATGGTCGTCAATTCCTTGCTCACGTGGCTGTACCTACGGATTGCGTACCTGGGATATCTGAGACCGCGCAGTAAGGACGCTCAATTAGCAACAATCGGAACGGAGGGCGAAGCGATCACGCATCAAGTAAAATTATGATAACACAAACGTGTCTTCCATCGATTTACTTCACGCTTTCGACAATTATCTTGATTTTGATCTGAAAATAGAAGAGAACGTTTCGTTATTCATCGCAACGTTCTGGAATTAAAAACACGATATAATACATTCCTGTTGAATTATTTTTCTAATTACAATTTTCTCAGGTTATACAGGAAAAATACAAAGACTTAGGCCCGTTATCCTTTCATGAATTGGGAGTGAGTGTCTTGTTCATCACATGCGTGTTCCTTTGGATATTCCGCAAGCCTAATTTTATCACAGGATGGGCGGAATTAATCACCGACATGTTGGTATTTCCTCACGGTAATTTTCTAAGACATAATTTTGAGTCACGTATGATTCCATGAAACAAATAACAAATGTATAGAGAACTCGGTGACTCGGTGCCGGTGATATTCATCGCTATCCTGATGTTCTTCATGCCAAAGGACCCCAGCTTCATTCGCAGCTTTAGTCGGGATCGTAAGAAATCGCGTCGTATTAATTCTTGAAATTCTAATAACAGTTTCAAAAAGTAGCTGAAAATGTCGCCGTGCTATATATTTCTACACTACAGATTTAATTTTTATATTTTTAAAAAGTTAATTAGCTTTCTAGAACAATAGTGGTTCGTTTGTATGCGCATTTTCGATGATTGCGTTGAAAATTGTAAAATCCACAGCCGCTAAGAGACCAAAGAATTCCTCGGAGGGTTTTATCACGTGGAAGATCATCGAGACCAAGATGCCGTGGGGCCTGATCTTCCTGTTGGGCGGTGGATTTGCAATCGCAAAAGGAACTGTCGCTTCTTGCTTGGCGAAAAAGATCGGTGCGTCCTTGCTACCACTTCAAGACTTGCCACCCATTCTAATACTCTTTCTAATATGTCTCCTCATCGGCACCATAACGGATTTTACTTCGAATGTGGGCATCGCGAATATCACTTTACCAGTAGTGGCTCAAATGGTAAGGATTCATCAAGCATCGAAGTTCTCGTGTCTGCGATTGTTAATACCTTCGCTACCAGGATTTATTTAGAGAACTCTCTTCGCAAGTCATATTGTATTTATTTAATTATGTAAAACAGATTTAGTTTACTTATGTGGAAAGAGAAAAAAATTTTTACCGTCGCACATATCTCACGCTAGTAGCGAACGTATGAATATTCTTCGATTGTGCGAAGAATTCATGCCGATCTTTCAAAGGAACGTTGCAAAGTACGCCAATTCCCGCAAATGCACGTACACACACACCACACACACACACACATATATAGATACATCTTTATTCTTCTATATATATATATATATATATATATATATATATATATATATATATATATATATATATATATATATATATGTGTGTGTGTATATATATATATA